AGGTTGCGGCGAGCTAAGATCATGCCACTGCACTCCAGCCTGGGCAACGGAGTGAGACTCCATCTCAAAAAAAAAAAAAAAAAAAAAGCAGCATATTTTGTATTAAGCTGCCCTACTTTTCCAAAGATGGCTTGATTTACTGGTTTGTTGGAGCAGCATGATTTTTTTCTTTTTTTGGCTTCAGGCAGTAAGATTGGTGACTGAGCTGTGTTTAGAATACAAAATCTATGACCTGCAGCTTTGGAATGGACTCTTGCAAAAGCTTCTGGGCTTCAATATGGTAAGTAAGACTCAATACCCTGGACTGAATATATCTGAAAGCTTTTGCACAGCATCCCCTAAACATTTTGGATTGATACTTGTTATGGAACAGATTTCTGCTGAAAACACAGTCACTCTCACTGAGTTCATGCCAAACTTAAAGAACTTGGTGTTAGGCCAGAGAATGCAAAATCCAAAATGACATAAATTTCACTGGAAACAAATGGAAGGTTTCCTAGCCTTTTTTGATATTTATGAACTTGTAAGTGAACTTCTCTGGCAGTTATCATGGAAGATAAAGTTTTACCAGTACTTTTTCTGGAACTTTAAGATGCGGTATTTCACATTGAAATTTTCCATTTTGGTGGTCTTTAGAACTTTCTTATTTTTAATTTTTTACAGATTCCTTATCTAAGGAAAGTTTTAAAAGCCATTTCCAGTATCCATTCTTTATGGCAGGTATGTAGCTTTTTAAAATAAATTTTATTGAATTTAGTCTTTATACTTTCTGGCCTTGTGACTGCTGGGGACACCGGATTAAGCAGTCAGCTCCTTCGTAAAGAACAGAACTGAGCCAAGTACAGTGGCTCACTCCTGTAACCCCAAAGTTTTGGGAGGCCAAGGCAGAAGGATCACTTGAGCCCAGGAGTTTGAGGCTGCAGTGAGCCATGATTGCACCATTGCACTCCAGCTCCAGCCTGGGCAACAGAGCTAGATCCTTTCCCTAAAATAAAGCAAGAAGAAACAGAACTGATCAGCTGTAGGATGATTAAAGTTGTGCCTGAACCCGTTAATACTCAGTTCACATCATCTCCTGAAGATACCACTTTCCTGAGTTTTCCAGGCCTCACAAGTCACACCTTTATTTATGCTCTCAGGACATTTTGGCTCCACTCTGACTTTTGTCACCATATAATTAATTTTCATTACATGTTGGGCTGCCCCTCACAGACTTTGAAGATCTTTCACATCAGATACCCTGGCTTGTTCATCTTTTCTACATTTCACATAAGTTGTGTACCCATATAAGCAAAATATATATTATGTAGAAATATATCATTTATTCTTTGTTTAATAAATTAGGACAATATAGAAATATGCCGAGTAAAACATGAAAATTCCCTCTTACTATTTTCCTTCATAATTATCTTCCTAAGGGAATGACTGCTTACAATTTCCTATGGATTCTAGAGATTTCCTGTTTTGTTTTGTTTTGTTTTGTTTTGTTTTGTTTTGTTTTGTTTGAGCCAGAGTCTCGCTCTGTCACCCAGGCTGGAGTGCAGTGGCGCCATCTTGGCTCACTGCAAGCTCCACCTCCCGGGTTCACGCCATTCTCCTGCCTCAGCCTCCTGAGAAGCTGGGACTACAGGTGCCTGCCACCACGCCCAGCTAATTGTTTGTATTTTTAGTAGAGACGTGTTAGCCAGTATGGTCGCGATCTCCTGACCTCGTGATCCACCCGCTTTGGCCTCCCAAAGTGCTGGGATTACAGGCGTAAGCCAACGTACCTGGCCGAGATTTCCTGTTTTACAGGCACGTGTGTATGTGTGTGCATATCTACAGTGTATATATACATTTTTGCACACATAAATGCAATCACATTCTGAACAAAGTGTTGTTTTCACATAACAATGGTCTCTGGAGATTGTTCCATATCAGCACTTGTAGATCTAATTGTTTTATTGAGATACAGTTCACATGTAAAATTTATCCTTTTAAAGTACACAATGAAGTAGTTTTTGGTATATGCACAAAGTTGTATGGTCTCACTATTATCTAATTCCAGAACATTTTCCTCACGCCAAAAAGAAATTCATATCCATTAGCAATCATTCCCCATTCCCCACTCCCTCCAGCCCCCAGTGACCACTAATCTATTTTCTGTCCATGAATTTGCCTTTTCTGGACATTTTGTATCAACGGAGTCCCACACTATGTGGGATTTCCTGTCTGGCTTCTTTCACTCAGCATCATGTTTTAAGGTTCATCCACATTGTAGCATGGATCAGAACTTCATTCCTCTTTCTTTTTTTTTTTTTTGAGACAGGGTCTGGCTCTGTCGCCCAGGCTGGAGTGCAGTGGCATGATCTCGGCTCACTACAAGCTCCGCCTCCCGGGTTCACACCATTCTCCTGCCTCAGTCCCAAGTAACTAGGACTACAGGCACCCGCCACCACACCCAGCTCATTTTTTGTATTTTTAGTAGAGACTGGGGCTTCACCGTGGACTCGATCTTCTGACCTCGTGATCTGCCCGCTTGGCCTCCCAAAATGCTGGGATTACAAGCATGAGCCATTGCACCCGGCCACTTCATTCCTCTTTTTTGCCAAATAATGTTCCATTGTTAACTGAACATATTTTCATTTCTCTTGAGTGTATACCTAGGAGTGGACTTGTTGGGTCTTACAGTAACTCTGTGTTTAGCCTTTTGAGGCATTTTATTTTTAATGCTTGATTATCCTCCATAATATGTAGTAAAATATACCCGAAGTTATTTAACCACTCCTCTATTGATGGAAGTTTACATTTTCTTTCCTCTTTTTTTCTTTGAATATATAGAGATGGGGGTCTTGCTGTGTTGCCTAGGCTGGTCTTGGAACTCCTGAGCCCAAACAATCCTCCTGCCTTTGCCTCCCAAAGTACTGGGATTACAGGTGTGAGCCACCACGCCTGGCCAGTGTTCTTTCCTTATTCACCTTCTTGAAATTCTTTCTCTTGTCCCCTTCCTCCTTTCCTGTGGCCCTGGCACATAACCGGCTAAGGATTAATTTTCTTTTCTGAGTTGGGTTCTGACTTTTTGCCAAATGGAACAATAATGAATCAGCCAGGATTGTATAGTGAGATCCTGAAAGATACAGTTGTGAAGAACATTATGCTAGAACCTTAATCATCTCAAACAGGGAGATTATTACTTTAGTCATCTGGAATATAAACTATAAATGTACAGTTTTGTGACCATTTAACAGTGGCCTCTGGAGAGTGTTTCATATCAGCACATAGTGATCTATCTAATTTTTTTGTTGAGATACAATTCACTTGTAAAATTCGTCCTTTTGAAAGTATACAATCAAGTAGATTCTGGTATATTCATAAAATTGTACAACCATCACCATTATCTAATTTCAGAACATTTAGGCTGCAATTTAGAAAGAGTTCATAATATCTTTTTGGAGATGGAGTTTTGCTCTGTTGCCCAGACTGGAGTGCAATGGTGTGATCTCAGCTCACTGCAACCTCCACCTCCCAGGTTCAAGCGATTCTTGTGTCCCAGCCTCCCGAGTAGCTGGGATTACAAGCATGCACAACCATGCCTAGCTAATTTTTGTGTTTTTAGTAGAGACGGGGTTTTGCCATGTCGGCCAGGCTGGTTTCGAACTCCTGACCTCAAGTGATTCACCTGCTTCAGCCTTTCAAAGTGCTGGGATTATAGGTGTGAGCCACTGCACCCGGCCTAGACTGCAAATTAAAGAGAGTCTGTAATATCCTTAACATGAATATCCCAAACGTGGACTTGTTTTCACAGGTTCCCTACTTCAGCAAAGCATGGCAGCGTGTGATACAGATACCACTGCTTTCAGGTATTTCGCTCTCCTCTGAAACATTCGCTACAGCATTTTATAGTTGAGTGTGTGTATATCATGGTTGGTTTTTTTTTATCTTCAGCTTCTTGTCCCTTAAGTCCTGATCAGCTGTCCGATTGTTCTGAGAGTCTCATCGCTGTCCTCGAGTAAGTAAAGTGTTTGTTCTACCAAAAAAAAAAGTTTGTTGCTTATAAGATTCCTTTCTAATAGATATCTCTTATGAGTAATTCCTTTTTGTTAGGAAGTTAAGCATAACACTTGTTTTTGTTTTGTTTTGTTTTTTTGAGACGGAGTCTCGCTCTGTCGCCCAGGCTGGAGTGCAATGGTGCAATCTCGGCTCGCTGCAACCTCCGCCTCCCAGATTCAAGCAATTCTCCTGCCTCAGCCTCTTGAGTAGCTGGGATTACCGGCACGTGCCACCACTCCTGGCTAATTTTTGTATTTTTACTAGAGACGGGATTTCCAGAGTGTTGGGATTACAGGCATGAGCTGTCCCGTGAGTAGCTGGGATTACAGGCACACACCACACACCACCACACCCGGCTAATTTTTGTAGTTTTAGTAGAGACGGCCTCCGAAATTGCTAGGATTACAGGTGTAAGCCACTGCACCCGGCAACACTTGTTTTTATACCAAAATATCTAAATTATTTTTACATGTGTTGTGCGACTAGTAAACTGAGCATTCTCTAAATTGAGTACCTACTGTCTATATGAGCATAGAGTACTTTTGGTGACTACCCTAAATCATACATCGTTGTCACATAGATTTTGAGTCTTCTGGCTGGGTGCGGCGGCTCACACCTGTAACCCCAGCACTTTGGGAGTCTGAGGCGAGTGGATCACTTGAGGTCAGGAGTTTGAGATCAGCCTGACTAACGTGGTGGAACCCCATCTCTACTAAAAATACAAAAATGAGCTGGGCGTGGTGGCGCATGCCTGTAATCCCAGCTACTCAGGAAGCTGAGGAGGAATCGCTTGAACCCGGGAGGTGTTGGTCGCAGTGAACTAAGATCACGTCCAGCCTGGGTGATAGAGCTAGACTGTTTCTCAAAAAAAGAAAAAAAAAGTTTTTGAGTCTTCTGAGGATTTAGAAGCCTATCTTTAGGCATCTGTAGGCTTTCAGACATAATCATGGTATAGCAAACAGTAGTCCGTGTTCCCGTGGGTAGATTCTTTTATTCCGTGTAGAATGCCGTCAAAGACTCATGTTACTCATTCCTAAGCATATGTCATAAACCAGCACTTTAGTGTTTAAAATTATTGAAAGCCTGGACAGGTAAATGACTATGGAAAGCTAGAAAGGCCAATATAATCTAGTGAATCTGACAGATTATTAACTAATTAATGTGCTCTCTTGAAGATGTCCAGTCTCAGGTGATCTTGACCTGATTGGAGTCGCCAGGCAATATATCCAGTTAGAACTTCCAGCTTTTGCATTAGCTTGTCTGATGCTCATGCCCCACTCAGAGAAAAGACACCAGCAAATTCAGGTATGGTGCACATGATTCCTCTGGGCTGCCAAGGAAATAGAAAGTCTCATCTTGCATGTCCCTTGCAAAAGGTCACATTTTCATTTCAGCAAACCTGTAAAGCATGCATACATCAGATATGTGTGAAGCTTGTATGGGGACTTAGTGGGAGGTAAGACTGAAAGATAAAGTCCAGCTGAGGGATGTCTTACAAGGGGTTTGGGCCTTATTGTCTATCAGTGGGGAAACAAGTGATTATTTTAGAACAGCAAACTGAAATGATGAAGGAAGTATTTTAGAAAGAATAACCCATTAACCCATGTAGACTTGGTCAGAGGAGAAGACAAGAAGGGAAACTCTTGGGAAGCTGTTGCATTTGAGTAGAATTTTACCCCACTTGATCTCTTCATATCAGCCTTGTGCATAGGCAGGGAAGGCTTGGGGGTTAAGTACCCACAGTAGAGTCTGGTAATGAACTTGAACAAGATGAGAAGGCTACAAGGAAAGCAGCTGACTTAGCAATTGAATGTGGGAGATAAAAGAAGGGGAGAGTCAGATTTTATGTGTGGGTGCCCATCAGAGGGAGCCACGAGCATTTTGGGGACAGAACTTTTAAAAATAACTCTCATTTCCTTTATAATAGGGAACAAGTAGAACAAAGCATTTTGGAATGTTTTACAGTTATCTGTTATCTTCCCTGTAGGTAGACATACCAGTAGATAGAGATCTACATAAATGACATGCATGCATTCATGCTTTTTTTTTTTTAAGAGAGTCTCTCTCTGTCACCCAGGCTGGAGTGCAGTGGCGCAATCTCAGCTCACTACAACCTGCCTCCCGGATTCAAGTGACTCTCAAGTAGCTGACATTACAGGCTCCCGCCACCACACCCAGCTAACTTTTGTATTTTTAGTAGAGACAGGGTTTTGCCATTTTGGCCAGGCAGGTCTCGAACTCTTGACCTGAGGCAATCCAGTGGCCTTGGCCTCCCAAAGTGTTGGGGTTATAGGCATGAGCCACTGCGTCCAGCTGAACATGCATATTTTTTATTTGTCATTTGGTCTATTAATTACATTTTTTAAAGCCACCTATTCTTGTCTTTGACTTTTTCCCCTCTTTTCATCATTCGTACACTCATTCCTTGATGCCATTCTGTGTTTCAGTATTTAAATATATTTATTTTGGCACTTAGAATAACAAAATACCTGATCAACAGCTCTTGCTGTTGGAATAAGTAATAACACTTTTCTATTAATTCTGCTTTGATTTTTCTCTAGAATTTTCTGGGTTCGTGTGACCCTCAGGTTATTTTAAAGCAATTGGAAGAGCATATGAACACAGGCCAGCTAGCAGGATTTTCACATCAAGTAAGAGGCGATTTCATTTCATTTTCCCAAACCAAGATTAAGCTGAAAACTGCTATGTCTAGCTGTTTGTTTATGTATAGAATTATTTTGCTTCTGTTAAAACCTCAGTAAATTTTTTAAAAGGCAGGGACCCTGAGGGTCTTGTTGACTACTGTGCTCCATGGAAAATTTGTAGCCTTAAGTGCTTTTAATTGAAAACAGATCTTCTTCCTCATAAAAAGTCTCAAAGCGCAAAACAATTACTTTATTTATTGACTGATGCTGACAGGCCTCCTTTCCCTTTTTACCCCCTCAAAAAGGAGGCGCAGTCATAATGCAGTGCTAATTGGACTTCTGATTGTAACAGTGTTTTGATATTGAATAAAGGCTTGATACCTGTCATTCTCTAGATTAGAAGTCTGATTCTAATAGATGAGAAGTCTGATCTTAATGCTACGTGTCATTCTATAGATTAGAAGTCTGATTCTGAATAGTATCATCAGTAAGAAGGAGTTTGGGATTTTGGCAAAGACCAAATACTTTCAAATGTTGAAGATGCATGTGATGAATACCAACAATATCACTGAACTAGTAAACTATTTGGCAAATGACTTAAGGTAAGTTTATTTTCAAAAAGCAACTTACTGTGGAATTTCCTGAAAATCTATCTTTGTAAGCTGGGCATGGACATAGAGAAACCGTGTCTCTACTAAAAATACAAAATTAGCTGGGCATGGTGGCACCTTCCTGTAATCCCAGCCACTCGGGAGGCTGAAGCAGGAGAATCACTTGAACCCTGGAGGCAGAGGTTGCAGTGAGCTGAGATCGCGCCATTGCACTCTAGCCTGGGCAACAAGAGCGAAACTCTGCTTCAAAAAAAAAAATCTATCTTTATGTTGGAGGAAAATGTCAACTGTAGAGCTGTTTTGTTGTAATTAAAAGCTCAAAATATTACATCTCTCATTACTGCACATATCCAAAAGTTAATCATTTAATAACCCAATTTCTTAGAACGTGACCTTAGAATCTGACAATTAAACAGGTCATCTGAATCCCCAAATCGAATGTCTTATAGCCCTGCTCTAAATCCTGCATTACAATTTTATGTCTTAGATACTTGCTCAGAACATTAATGACTTTATGTAACATCATTTTTGTTAAACCTGGTTATCTAATTTTCTAGCACCCACAAGTTTAGAAACAATAATCTTCTTGGGATAGAGCTGGGGATGGATATGGAAACTGAATGGGAGAAGGAAGAAATGGGCTGACTCTAAAGAAAGGGAAGTTCAAGACTGCAGTACACACCATATCCATCCCTGCATGTGGTCTAGCCGTGCTGGCGCTTGAGAGGTCTTTCTTTCTCGTTTCCATTCCATGGATTTCCATCTGCTTGTTTATCTCTTGTGATCCAGCCATAATTAGATATTGTCATTTTTGAGCAAGTATTTTTTGAGTTATAATTGATACATAGAATAAGCTGGACATATTTGAAGTCTGCAGTTTAGTAAATTTTGACATGTGTATACCTATGAAGCCATCACCACAATCAAGAGAGTGAACATACTATCTCCGAAAGTTTCCTCATGCCCTCTGTGAAGTTGATTACATGAGTTAAGTCATTCTTGTGATACCCAAATACATCAGAGCGGCCCGGGGAAAAGCACTCAGAGTACAAAACATGGCTCCAAAAACGTAATTCTGGCTGGGCGCAGTGGCTTAAGCCTGTAATCCCAGGACTTTGGGAGGCCAAGGTGGGTGGATCACCTGAGGTTAGAAGTTCAAGACTAGCCTGGCCAACATGATGAAACTTGTCTCTACTAAAAATACAAAAAGTTAGCCGAGTGTGGTGGCGCATGCCTGTAATCCCAGCTGCTCAGGAGGCTGAGGCAGGAGAATCACTTGAACCCAGGAGGTGGAGGTTGCAGTGAGCAGAGATGGCACCATTGCACTCCAGCCTGTGCAACAAAGTGAAACTCCATCTCACACACACACAAGAAAAGAATAATATGTAACCTGTCTCTTTTTCATAAAATCTCTAACCTTCTCTTTGTTCTTTGGACAATCCAGAGACTACCCAGTCTATGTATATGCCTCAAATTGGGATTCTTTTTTCCCAAATAAAACATTAAATTTAGAGATTGGTCTTTACTTTTAATTTTGACTTCAACGCCTCTTTTTCTTTCTTTTCTTTTTGAGATAGGGTCTTGCTTTGTCAGTCAGACTGGAGTGCACAAACATGGCTCACTGCTGCCTCAACCTCCTGGGTTCAAGCGATCCTCCCACCTCAGCCTCCAGAGTAGCTGAGACTACAAGTGTGCGACGCCATACCTGGCTAATTTTATATTTTTTTGTAGAGACAGGGCTTTGCCATGTTGCCCAGGCTGGTCTCCAACTCCTGGACCCAAGCCATCTGCACATCTTGGCCTCCCTGAGTGCCGGGATTATAGGTACAAGGCACTCTGCCTGGCCTAACACTTCTTTTTCTTTTTGATTTTGTAGTTTAGATGAAGCTTCAGTCTTGATAACTGAATATTCAAAGCACTGCGGGAAACCTGTGCCTTCAGAAGCCGCTCCCTGTGAAATTCTGAAGGTAAAGCTGATGGAGAGTTCTTAGGTTCTAACTTGACATTGTTTATATTCCTAGGGCCTTAAAATTGACCAACCTTTTCTAGTGTTCTGGAGATAAATGTATTTTTATGTGTAACTGTAATTTTTATATTTTACTTGGTGTGCTCTAAACTAGAAATCAAGAGGCCACAGTTCTAATCTCAGCCCTGCCACTGGGCAGCAAAGCCTAGTATGGGCTTAGTCTTCAGATCTGGACCCCATGGTCTCTCAGGTGCTTTCCAGCATTACCATTCTTCATAAGGTGGTGTTTTTAATATTGAAGCAGATGAAAAACTGAATTCTAAAGGTGTTGATTACTGTCATGCTTGGGTATTAATTGCTTTTTAAATTAATTATTATTCTTTAATTACCTAAAATGTATGTTCACTGCAGAAAAAAAAGAAGTATGACCAGGCATGGTGGCTCACACATGTAATCCCAGCACTTTGGGAGGCCGAGGCGGGCAGATTACCTGAGGCCAGGAGTTCAAGACCAGCCTGGCCAACATGGTGAAACCCCGTCTCTACTAAAAATACAAAAATTAGCGAGGCGTGGTAGCACATGCCAGTAATCCCAGCTACTCGGGAGACTGAGGCAGGAGAATTGCTTGAGTCCGGGAGACGGTGGTTGCAGTGAGCCAAGGTTGTGCCACTGCACCCCAGCCTAGCCGACAAGAGCAAAACTCATCTCAAAAAAAAAAAAAAAAAAAAAAGAAAAGAAAAAGGAGAAATATGAAGGAGCCAAAAAAAAAAAAAAAAACCTAAACTGATCTCCAAAATCTCACTACCCAGACAGGATCACTGTTAACATTTTGCTGTACATTCTTCCAAATTTTTTGTATGTAAAATGTGCACGTAATTTATTTTTACTCCTATTTTGAACTTAAGTACCAGGTAAAATTTTTACTTTGATCATATTTTGGTAGCTTTATTTTTTATTTGCTATTTTTCAGATTGGAATATTGGTAGCTTTAGTAAACCTAGGTGTAGAGGCTTTTTTCTTCCTGTGGTCCAGATCAGGCGTATTAGAATAAGCCCGCATTTTGTTACCTCCGATTAATAACTTACAGGGTTTACCTCCAGGTGGTTGTGCTCAATGGCATAAGATTACTTTTTTTTCCAGAAAGGGAGAGTATTGATTCAAGAGACGAATTTGTGGT